GGTTTAGGGTTGAGGGTTTAGGGACGCCCTAAACCTTCAACAACCTTAAACCCTCCAGTCCCCCTAAGTAGATAGAATATGGCTTTAGGTATATTATAATAAAATCCCCATAGACCCCATATTCTATCTACTTACGGGGGACTATAAACCCTAAAACCGTGGCAAAGACACCCTGACCTTCAAGGAATGAACCCAACTGGCCTTCTCGTTGGCGGGGTCCATGTGTATCATACCGCGGGCCTGTGCAAAGACAGGATATATCCCCTGCGCAAATATCCCCTCCACCCCCTAACGGTACAGTACATATTCCCCAAGCAGATAGCACATTGTGTGGATGATTTTTTTTGGTGTGGGGGTGGGGAGTGTCTTATAATGGGGAGCGGGTCTCCTTGTATAACCCTTTCTTACGGCTCCAAGCACTCAAATAGTAGCCGAACACCATCCTGATTATGGTGCATGGGATCTACAAGCCCATTCTTTGGGTACTTGAACCCTAAACCCTAAACCCACGGTACTTGAAACTTTGGGACTGTTTATAGGGTCTGTGGGTTTGATGGCCTTGCATGACCTTAGAGCATATTTACATGAAGTGTAGTCTAAACTCCTTGAAGGGCGTTATATCGGAGTATTACAGGAGTTACTAAGGGGGAAACTTGGGGTAAACCCAGAATAGTAGAGTGCACCGTAAAAGGGGTTGAGCAAACTTCCCGAACTGACTGTCCGCAAGAAGCCCAGAAAGCCCGATTTTGCTTAATTGGGAAATATACATTAAATCATATTTGGGATCCTAATAGGATTTGGGGTATATTCCCTCACTAAGGGATATTATGCTTTCTGCGAGGCAAACGCAATCTCTCTAAGAATCCAGAACACTGCCTTTGCAAATTGCTGCAAAATGAGCGGCTTCGCGACCTCCATTGAATATAAACACCAGGGCACTCATGAGGATCTCAACAGGCATTACTACCGAAAGTGCCCCTCTGGCTTTAGGCGTCCAAAGACCAGTCAGACTCCAGTGCTTAGATACATAAAACGCTCATATCTGGGCACTTGGGCCCTAAGAACTTGCAAGGTAACAGGTAAGTGCACAAGCAATGGCATCCGAGAGGCCAGGCTTTTTAGTGTGAGGCTTCAGTTTCAGGACTTTGGGTTTTGGGGTTCAGTAATGCTACAAGCTGTTATGGACCAACATCCAAGAACTGCTCAGAACACCACACGCGCTTAACGCTGTCAAGCCTAAATCGTATCTGTCAGATCCTTGTTGGATTGTTTTTGAATAGCTGAAGCTAAGTTACATGCTTGAGGGTCTGGTGTTTAGGATGAACCTCGTGTTACCTCAGTTACTCATAATACCGGTGCATAGTGTGTAATATAACAGGTATTTCATACAGCTAGAACTTAGGTTAAGATCGTTAACAACAACCCGGTTGTTGATTAAGGCTCAAACTTTACGCTTCATAGAGGTTCAAGTGAGTAAGCTGAGAATGTTTTGGGCAACCATAACTATGTACACCATGGCATTTGACTGCTATGATTGGTACTTAGATCCGAGGGTTAGATTGGAGCCTTTGAAACCTGAGCATTGATTGTGGTATGCGATGAGTTGGTTCAGTGTCTCTTGGATAGCATACCCACCCCGGAGCCTAAACCCTAATGCCTAAACTTTAAACCGCAATCCCCAAACCCATTGCCATCTTGACCCTAAACCCGTGAGGACAGGCTATCGGTCTTGTTTCCGCACCTCCCCACCCCTTACATCCATGAGCTTTACCGTGAAGACCGAAAGAGTTCTTTGCTTCGTGTCTAGGGTTTAGGGTTTTGCATATCTTCATACCCCACACCCCATGCTACTCACAATAGCAAAACAGATTTATTTCCCGAAGGTTCATGGCAGCGGCGCCAAAAATTGCAGCGACCAGCCTCCTTTAAAGGCATTTCCCATTTTTTGCTATTATCGCTCTCCCGTCAATGAAAAAATAACAACAATACCGAATTATCATTGTTTTACACCGGCATATCCTAATAAGTTGCGTCAGTTCCAGAAAAACCGGCTCACGATACCTTCAACGCAGGGTCAGTTACCTGTACAGGAAGGTCCCCAGATGGGTCCTTGGACCCTTTAGTTTGGAGGGTGCCAGGAACCATAATGACCCTTGGACTTGTGTTGCAATCTCGGAACCTACTTAGCTTCAGTATTGCTCTCGTCGTCTACGCTGAGCATGACCTGCTATCTCGTATCCAGACTCCTCCCATCAAACTCCGTGCTCTCCGAATTAGAATTGCAAATCCTAAGCCAAGGGTCAACTAGACAAACAGCACTGCGTACGCAAAGCTGTCAAACTTGTGAACCCTTTTCCGGATGATTATGGTGCTCTCGTCAGGCACCCCAACAAAACAATCTTCTACAAGCGCTTATGAATTAGGATTCAGGGTTTAGGGAGCCAAAGGAGTGCCTGCCAAAAGTCCACTGTCTTCTGCAGCAAGATCGAGTGGCAGGCAATACAAATGAAGTTCATGCCTGCGTCGCGGGGCGGGGCTGATGCAGGGTTCTCAAAATGTGGAAAACTCTTTGCCCGTCTTGGAGCATATATATATATATAGTATATTATATGTATATGAGATGTGTCTACATGAGCATGATACCACGACTACATGAACCTCTAGGTGTCATATCCAACCATGATGAACCACCCCTTTGTTGTAGACAAGGATTGCGCAGATAGTATTCTCAATTCTTCAGATTACTAGCTCAGGTTCGAGGGTTGATGGTTTAGACCCTTCCTTCCCAACGAAATGTCCTACTTGGCCTCAAATCAGACAACCTGCCAATGTCTTGGGAGTGGTTTGAACCATGGCCCGTGGAGGTACTGCAACTAGCCTGCTGAGGCCTCAAGAAGGCGACCTAAGTGTGCCAAGCAAGATTTCTGACCGAAAAACCCTGGAGTCCTGCCACAAACAGACTTCAGGGTTTAGGGTTTAGGGCAGCTGTGGGGTTCGGGAATTAGGTGTTCGGTGGGCATAACCACATGAAACCGGAGGCAGTTGAGGTTACAAGCAGTCCAGCAAGTCCTTTTATCTGCGGTGAGCCTGGGTGATCATACGAGCCTTTGCCCTCAGCAATTTAGCAACCTCACCATGGCCTTTCTGCTTTGCGAGATCGCGTGCTGTTTTGCCATTGCAATTATGCAGGTCCTTCTCAGCACCAGCTTCCAAAAGCAGCCTTGCGATTTCCAAATGGCCAGTCTCAGCTGCCATCATGAGGGCCGTGTAGCCCTTGTAAGATGCAGACCGCACGTCAGACCGCACGTCCTTGTCAGCACCAGCTTCCAAAAGCAGCCGTGCCGTCTCCACATGGCCATGCTTAGCTGCGAGCATGAGCGCTGTGTAGCCATCGCGCGTCTGCGCGTCCTTGCTGGCAGGGGCTTCCAGAAGTAGCCGTGTGATCTGCGCTTTGCCATTTTCAGCTGCGAGCATGAGGGCCGTGTAGCCCTGCTGAGACTGCGCGTGCTTATCAGCACCAGCTTCCAATAGCAGACGTGTCAACTCCACGTGGCCATTCCGAGCTGCGAGCATAAGAGCCGTGCTACTGCAAGACCGCGTGTCCTTGTCAGCACCAGCTTCCAAAAGCAGCTGTGCCATCTCCACTTGTCCGTTCTCAGCTGCATGCATGAGGGCTGTGAAGCCGTCTTGACCTTGCCGGTCTGCCTCAGAACCGGCTTCCAAAAGCAGCCGTGCTGTCTCCACATGGCCATTCCGAGCTGCGAGCATGAGGGCTGTGTGGGCGAAACGCCTGCCGCCCAGGTGATTGTCAGCCCCGGCTTCCAAAAGCAGCCGTGCCATCTCCACGTGGCCTTTCTCAGCTGCCATCATGAGGGCTGTGTAGCCCCAGCAGCCACCCGGCAGGTCTTTGTTAGCGCCAGCGTCCAAAAGCAGCCGCGCAATCTCCACGTGGCCTTTCTGAGCTGCGACCATGAGGGCTGTCGTGCACAAGGCAGTCTTCAGGTCTTTGTCCGCACCTGCTTCCAAAAGCAGCCGTGTTATCTCCAGGTGGCCAGTCTCAGCTGCGAGCATGAGGGCTGTGCGGTTCTCAGGATCTGTGGCATTTTTGTTGGCACCAGCTTCCAAAAGAAGCCGCACGATGTTCAAGTCACCTTTGAGGCAAGACTCGCAAAGCTCGTTGGCAGCCTCACACTGCTGCGCCTTCGTGGAAAGAGCAAGAAGGACTAGTTGCAGGTCGATCGGGGCATCTAGCTTTGTGGAATCGTCTAGCCCGTTGCCATTGTGCAGCAACTGTTGCATGCACAAGGGGAAGCCGTGAAGACTGCACAGGGAAGCTTTCAAGTCTCGCACAACCGAGATCCCCTCTATGCTGACTGCCGGCAGCTCCTGTCCCGACATCCGCCATATGCGAAGCATTCTGGCAAAAGGCTCAACAACAGCGCTAGCTGAAGAATTGTCGACCGCATCTATGTTTGTATGCTGATGGTTCTACAGCGCATGAAGGCCAGAAAACGCTTGTTGCTGAGCTGAAGTTGAGTTTGTGTCACAAGGCAGCATGGAGACACCGGGGTTCATGGAACACAAGAGTATACCACACATTGCGTCTTATCTTCAAAACCGTCGAATCTGTTGACCCAAAACCTCCAGCCTGAGGCGTGCGTTCTATCCGCGTGGACTACTGGTCCTTGCTTGGAGGTTCAGAGGGACTGAATAAGTAGGTTGACAATGGGGATACTGTTGATGGCTGGAATCTTGCACCACCTTGATTCCCTGAAGTCCTAAAAATTACAGTATTTTAGGGCCCCTAGGTGGTGCAAGATTTCCTCCATCAACAGTATTTGGTGTTACTATATGGCTTCTAGGGGTTATAAGTATACTTACTAAGTCCCTCTGACCCTCCAAGTGAGCACTGCCCAAAGTTGTGCTGAATACATAATTTGAACCTTTGGGCGACTCACACGCCCTAAGCCCCATAGAGCCCTCTTGTCCCTGCAGAACTCGTGTATCCCTATATGTGACACTAGAGGGTCCCGTATGAGTGCCCTGGGCCTTCGAGTAAGCCCTTAACCACTTGCCTGAGATGAAATCCCACATGGCACGACCACTGCCGGTCCTCAGCACAGTCAGGGTTTAGGGTTGAGGGTTTAGGGTTCAGAGTTATGCATTGGAAAAGAAAACCCTAAACTCTAAACCCTACTATTTATGTTTAGAGGCCCATAGTGGGGTTTAGGGTTTGGGGTTCTCAGGTAAGCTTCCTTGCAAGCCCAAGTATGCAAGAGGTGTTTTGGTTTGTGGCTTGGGGTTTAGGGCTTAGGGCATGAACAATCTACAATAGGGGTCATATTAAGGGCTATATATAATCATATTATGAATGTTATCCAACTGTTAAGAAGTGGGGGCAGTATGCAAGAGGTGTCTGCTTCGGCAAAAGCAGCTGGTACACAAGACGCTGCTACTAAGGTACTTGGATGGATAAACACATAATTCGAAGTTTTCAATATGCCCTTCACCCCAGACCCGAAATTCAAATTACTAAACTCTAAACCTTTGACGTTGTGGACACCAGGTTTGGTGGAGAAATCTGAAGGAAGGATAAACGAGCAGGACAGCTTCTTTGCACATTTGAATGTTGAAAGGCTTCCCCATAGCCAGTGAATCAGGGCCAAGGACCTAAAGAATTGCTAATATCATGTGAGCTATAGTCTAAACTCCTAGTATCCCCCTTAATAACCCCTATAGTAATCCCCTATATAATCCCCTATATAACCCCACTTCAGGGACTTTAGACTATAGCTCAGTTAGAGGTCCATTTGAGGTACTCTATAGCAGAATTCTAGAGGACATCTAGAACCATAAAGTTGGCAACAATTCAGGCTTGTATGGCCTGCCTTCGCGGTTCTATGCCGCAATGATATCTCACAATGAGCTGGGAATTTGATCAGGTATGTTGTGGGTCCATGGGCCACTTGACTTACGGGTTGTGATCAGGGAGTGAAGCAATTTATAGTGGCTCCTATCCAATACCTACTATACACTAGTTTCGATGTTCTTTGAAATTTACCTTTCAATCCTTCCCTACCACCCAAACCGTAAACCCTGTACCCTGTACCCTAAGCCTAAACCCTTTTCCTTCCTTCATTCCCTACCTAACGCTCCACCCTTTAACTTACGGGGAGTAGGGACTAAGGGAATATAAAATGTATAGATACATCTAAACCTTAAACAACATAACAAAAAAACTATATGACCCGTCTAGCCCCCCCATAAAGGGACCCATAATTCTGGGAACCCCCCTATTATGCATTTGCAAGCCTCTCAGCTTGCTGATTGTGAATGGAGGAAAGCGCGGTGTAGGGTTTAGGGGTTTAGGGCTTAGGGGAAAGAAACTGACAGTTACATAGACTAAAACATGTATTTTACATAAGCCGCATTATTTAGGGCTTCGGGTTTTCCAGAATGAGGCGTACATGTTTGGGGGGTCTTTGTTGGCTCTGGAAAAGGATGCTGGCAGAAGTGAAGACCAATTGGAACAGGCTATCTTTTAGGTCGAATCGGATAGGTTCAGATGCAGATAGCCAGCATTGCCCATCCGATAGTGTACTGTTCAAGGCATGGCAAGGAGTCCATTCACGTTGAAACTTGGGTGGTTAGAAAAAGGGTGTTGAAGATACACTCAGCTTCATGTCTCTGATGAGTGCGAAGCGTTCTGTTGGCGTGTCTACTTGCCGTCTGAACATTGAGGATGCGAATTTGTTCTTTCAAAGCACTTGTAGCATGCTTGCAAAATAAACTTCTGGCGGATAGTAGAAAATGGAGGAGTACGTCCCATAATCATGGTGGCCCCTATCTGTTCCGCGAAGAATAGCCCCTACGACCCATCCATCCCTACATTATCTTCCCATGCACTCCTCAAATGAACCATAGTATCCCCCCTCCTGTAAGGAGGTTAGACCCTAAACCCTAAACCCGACATCCTAAATCCTAAACCCTGAACCCTGAATAACCACCTTTAAGGAGTACCTGAACCCCAAAATGTTGTAGAACAATGGCCTTATGGGCGAGATTTAAGGGTTGTGGCCTATTTGTGTTTCCTATCTTTTGGGGGTCCAGGTATAGCTCAAATAGCTTTGTCACAGATATATGAGCCCTGGACTAAATTTGCAATATATCCCTTAATAGATCCCCCCCCAAAACTCTATATAGTCCCCTATAGGTCCCCCCCCTCAACCCTAAACCCTAAATTTAGTCCGTAGCTTCACCTGAAGAGGATAATGCCGAGGGGTTTGGGGCTCATTTAGGGTGAGCCTAAAATATTCTAGTAGTTTTAGGGTTTAGGGTTTAGGGTTCAGGGTTTGGGGTTTAGGGTTTAGGGTTTCCATTTTCTTTTCCATGACCCCCCATATATCCCCAATATTCTAAATTGAGTAGCTCATATGAGCCATGTAGATAATCCCCTATATACCCCCCCTTTAAGGAGTTTAAACCCTTAAACGCTAAACCCTAAACCCTAAACCCCAAACCCCAAACCCCAAACCCTAAACCCTAAACCCTAAACCCTACACCCTTATCCGGGAAGCGCCTTGGCTCGCTCGCCATTGAATCGATGTAGCCCACCTTTGGTGCCAATGCCAGGCATCCCGGTTTGGGGGTTAGGGTTTTAGGGCTTAGGGTTTTAGGGTTTAGGGATTTAGGGGTTTTAGGGTGTTAGGGTTTAGGGTTTAGGATGCAGGGTTTACGGGGCGCAGTCATGATCGCTGATAAGTATGGGCTCCTGCAAGAGCCCGATCTCAGGGGGGCTCTTCCCTCTTACGCATGAAAGGGGAATGCAAGTCTTTATGAGGCTCTGTTCAGCTGCAAAGCTATTTCTCCGAATTCCTAATCCCTAAACCCTAAACCACAAATAGTAGTTTCTATTGTAATTTCCATTATCCCCATATAACCCCAATATAACCCTGATATTACCCCGATGGGTTCCCATATCCCCTACAAACCCTTAACCTTACACTCTGAATCCTAAACCCTAACCCCTAAACCTTAAACCTTAAACCCTAAGCCCTAATACCCTATACCCTAAACCCTAAACACTATACCCCAAACCCTATACCCTAAACCCTATACCCTAAACCCTATACCCTAAACCCTTGACCCCTTCAGATCCTCATGAATGTCCCCCCGGAAGGTCCGCCAGGCACCTCGCGCTACAAAGAATCGCTGTGCTCAATTGGGTATAGGGGTTAGGGTTTAAGGTTTCGGGTGTAGGGCTGAGGGTTTAGGTTTAAGGTTTTGGGGTTTAGGGGTGGGGGTTTAAGGTTGAGGGCTTAGGTTGGGGGGCTTAGGGCTTAGCGTACATTGGGTTTGGGGTTACATGATTCTACAACCCTTTAGCAAGATCACCAAGATGCAAGTGGTAGGGCGCACTGCCCAAAAACGTAACATTAAAAGTTAGACATGTGCCCTCCCCCCAAATGTCCCCCCACTCCCAAATTTAGAACCCTATTAGGCGTCCTTAAGCTCCATATTAATAAGCTCCATATAGTCCTTATAAGCTCCTTAAACCCTGGATGGGTGTACATTTCGGGGCTGTAACTCCTAGTAACAGTAAGAGCCTTTGTTTCTATATGACCCCTATAAACTCCTTTAAAGGGTACCCCTAATTTGAAAGGGATCTACTAGGTTCCCCAGCAACCGCTTAATAATAAGGGTACCCTTCTTCCTATTGTTCAGGTTTACTAAGGCGATCCCAATACAAAAAGGGAAAAAAGGGTACAACTGGGGGCAAAATCCTCAGTCATCCTTCATCCTTAATTTAGGGTTTAGGGTTTAAGGGTTTAGGGCTTGAGGTTTAGGGTTTAGGACTTTGGGGTTTAGGCTTTTTAAATTGAACTTAATTTCATGACATAGTATCAGCCATAAAAAATGCCTTCCTAAACAGGCCCATTATAGTTCATGACAACTTACTTTACTCTCCTTGACTTGATACACTTCTATGCCTTAGAGTCGTTACTTAACACAAGACATAGCAAAGACGAATGCTTCTTTGAATGATAGATAAACCTCATTGCCCATGAATGTAAATGAACTGTCAGAAGGTAAAAGTAATAGTCATGCTACATTAGCTTTAAAGCAACTTGGCAGTTTGCCTAAATAGCAGGGCCCCCAAATCCTATGAGCCTTATTATGGGAACCCCAACAAGGTACCCCTAATTTTGGGAAAAGACAAGGTGTGGACACATTCTGAAATCCCCAATATGCCCCTAAATAACCCGCATACTAGTCCCTTATTATAGAATCCCCTGTATAACCCGTTTAGGGAGTTTAGACGCTAAACCAAACCCTATATATAACCCCCTTCAAGGAGTTTAGATTCTAGCTCACATCCCAAAACGCCAAACCCTAAACCCTAAATCCTAAACCCTAAGCCCTAAATC